ATATAACGGTAATTTAGAGAAATACAAAATCTTCGATAAATCAGTAAATATTGAAGCTAATTTATTCAAAATTGATGCTTGCAACAATTCTTTACCAAGAAATACGATTATGGTAAAACTTTGGAAAACGGGCGTGGCACCGCCCACTTATGATCTCATATAAGTATATCGGTAACCGTTCTACCAATTTGCACCAAACTCGGTGTGGTTATTGTACTTGCCACGCAGAAGCAAAACGTTGAAAATTATTGAAATCGGACTAAAATAACGGCCGCTTCTCATATAACGGTAAATTTCAGAAATGCTTGAAACTTCAATATTTCGAAATTGAAGGACGCTAATTTACTCAAAATTGATACACCCCGGCTTACCATGTAGCGGTAGCTTTCGGAAAGGTGAAAAACATATATTTAATACTTGCGCCGGGTATTTAATGTTCGGCTCCGCCCGAGCTTAGACTTTCTTACTTGTTTATTATTGATCAGCTTAATAATAATCGAGAAAATTGCACATATGTATGTATATGGTTTTTTAAATGTAATATTTATTTATTTTCTGTTTAATTTTATTAGCAACAGGTTTTGTAGATTTTCAGAGGATAAATTATATCTTAAGTCAGTTAAAATCTACTTCAGTGCAGAAAATCCTCTTTCTACACTGGCTTGAGTAGCGGGCACGCTGTGGACAACCTTAGCCAACAAGTATAGGTGACGGAGTGTATACTTCTTTTCTATTGTGTTTAAAAAAAAGCACTCAGCAATGATGAAGTACTTTCTGAAGCACCAGTTTGGCACTCAGAAGATGCACTATTCCCATTTAGTGGTTTCTGTGCCAGACTTCTACCAAACATAGAGGTGAAATTTATTGGTGTGGTTTTAGGAATGTGGGTTGCTTGAATTTTACTTACAACATTTGAAATCATATAAATTTGTCGCAAAAGCCGCATTAAATGGTTTCTGGCCATCATTAACCGAAAGGGGTTTTTCAGCGAGACCTTACGTAACCTAGGATCCAAATATATCGCCGAAACAATGACTTCGTTGTCTAATAAAATGTTTTCTCTTCTTTACAAACACTCCGCCAAAATGCTGCTATATGTCTGCACTGTTAGTTTCATTTCAAGCCATAGCTTGTAGAAATCTCCTAAATACAGTTGCTCCGCTTGAAGTTTATGAGTGCTATAATAAGTTCTCACTTTCAAGATGTTCTTCGCAGAAAGATTTTAAATTAAGTAGCGTCTTAAGCATGATGTAGGTCGAGTTCCACCGTGTTTGCACGTCAACTTCTGGCTGTGGCAAGCTCTGACTTGAGATAATATATCTACCATAAAAAGGCATGAGTACCAGGTACTCACGAAATTTGATGTGTAGACATCTGTGTCCCAAGCTAGTCTCAAGATGGACCTTCCCCTTAACCTCCAGTTAGAGTCCAGATTGATTTTTTAATCAATTAGTTAATTGGATTAAATTCAATCCGATTACCCTTAATAATGATTAATTTTAATCTGAATAAACAGTTAATCGTATCCGCGATGAAAAAAATTAAATTTTAATCGTTAAGCCTTGATAAAGTAATTTTGGTGATAAATTAATTTATGCTAGAATTTTCCTGTGCACACAAGGTCAGTTAATCGTGTATGGTTAAGTCGAGAGCAAAGACGTTTACACATCAAAATTAATAAAGATAACTTTATTTAACATAATTGTTTTACTATTGTGAATTATTTTAAATTAGTTAAGTGATAAAATAAGCTTTTAATCTAAATTAGGCGAGTAAATTACCTGTTAGAAGGACATCTAAGTGTTTTTGCTAAAACCCGAGCTTTTGATAAGACGGCTTGTCTTTTTGTATCATTTAAAAAGTCTTTAACACCAAGTGGCAATGTATGGGCAGCACATTTAATTGATGCAATACTATTATTTTTGACTTCATTTATTAAAGGATCGTGGTCAATTTCCTCGGCCACAGCTGTAGAAGTACTCATCTCATCATCTTCGCTTAATATTTCGACGGCTTTAATCATATTTCTACCGCTGTCTGTGGTCACGCAGTATATTTGTTGCTTGGAAATTTGAAAACTATCTAGAACACCTTCGATTTCTTGGCATAAATTAGCTGCGGTATGTTTTTTATGCAACTCAATCATACCGATAGTATATATGACAATATTCTTGTTGTCGTAATACTGCACATTAATGCCTAAAATACTACGATTAAGTCGCGAGGCGGTATCAAATTTAAGGCTAATTAAGATAATTCGCCTCATCTCTAATCCACTAAATATTTGCTCTGTTAAAATCTTAAACGTCTTAGAGCCCAGAACTGCAAAGGGCATCTTCTCATTGGCGAATAATTCCACGCATGCCGCCTTGACATCCTTTTCGGAAAACTCTACCACAATTTTTTGCTTCTTCTCTGATGGCTCGCGGTTCGTCTCTGTTAAAAATTGCATATGCTTATTTGTACTAAGTAGCTCATTTGTTATATAACTTGGCTAAAATTGCCGTTTAGATTTAATAGCAACCATGTTAGCATATTAAAAAAAATTGCATTGCTTTGAAGAAATTTAAAAAATATGCTGATTATAGCATAATATTTACTGGGAAAGTACAAAATAACTCA